GTGGGCCCCCAGCTGGAGTCCGGGAAGGATGCGGTCGCTGGAGTTAATCTCATCAAGTGCCAGCAGCATGGCTTCCAGTCTCTGGATCCCTCTCTCCTTGTTGATCTTACCACAGTCCTCCATCCCATCACCTTTATGGTGTACCGGGAACAAGCCTCCAATCACCAAGTCCCCGTCCATGATGATCTCACGTTTGGCCGCGGGTGTTAATCTGGAGATGTTGGGAAGGACTCCCGGTATCAGCAGCTCCAGCAGGAGCATGGGTAGAGGCCAATAATGGGCCGAATTGGCCAACGACCTGGGGCAGAGCACAACACCCAGCATGGCAGGATCAGGTAGCAGGACTCAGCTGGCTGAAGTAGAGAGGAGCAGAGGTTCACAGAGTCTGGAGGCCGATCGCTGTCAAGTCTTCTCTCAGTGGGTGCAGCATGTTTGATATTTCCTGAGTGAATGAAAGAGAAAACTAATTACCCAGTTAATCAAGCATGAATTGCATTTGACTAATCTATCTATCTTTTCAGGTTCAACAGCATCCATGGGCAGAAAGTAAGTACATTTCAATTAATGAGGAATGAAAGAGAGTTACAAAGCAGAGTAATAACATGAGTGTATGTCTTAAAATGTCCATTACTGACGCCCACTAACACCACATTGTTTTGCCTTTTTGTCTCAGATTTTCATTAGTGCCGTTACCCTTTCAGCTTTTCGCCCACAGGGTTATTCAAACACATGAAACAGTCGCCCCAAGACATAAAGCAGTATAAAAGCAGCCAGTTTATATTTAAACTTTCTTTGCAAGTGGTTCTTCACTGTTTTCTTATCGATTTTTGCCTTTTTTTCTAAGTCTAATGCTATCGACAGAAATGTTACAGGCAGATAATGCAATTACAGTGAAAGACAGTATAAACCCGGGACTCAGACTGTTTTGTCAGGAGGCTGAAATTGGGCTTATGAGTTACTTTTGGATGTGAAACTGTTCGATTCAGCCAGGCGCTCCGCGGTTCCAGTGTGTGATATAATCACTGCAGTTTTATCTGAAAGACAAAGTCTGCCGAGTGACCACATCAAAAATTAATAAATATTTAAGGGACTTTTCAAGTGAAGCGTAATTTCCAAGCTCACATCCGAGATATCACATAGATGGCGGTTCTCCTCAATGGCTGGGGTTGCCATGGAAACATGGTGGGTAAAAAAAAATAAGGGTTGGACTGCAGGGAAGTGGGCAGCGAGACATGTATGCTAATATAGATTCCTACCATGTGGAGGTTACAGGTTTAGGCCTCACCAGGAGCTGTTATGATGTCTGATTAGGGAGGTGGGCAGCTTCAATCACGGTGCTCTCAGAGAGAGAAAACCAATCCTGTTTCTTTCAAACACAATCATTCATCACATTCATCAAACGCACAAGTTCAGCAAACACAATGATTTAAACTGGCTTGAGAGACAATAGACTTTTAATAACTCATCACTTACAGCATGTTCGGGACTATCGATAATGTCGCATTTTTTTCTGACATCATTTGAAAGTCATGTGGAAAAATGACACATGAAATCAGCAGAAATTTGTGTGTTTTGTACTTTTTAACATCCAAGTTCTGGTAACAGAGCTTGGATGTAGTTTGGACTATAACAATATGCGCTGCCGATCCCCTATTAATCATCAAAGAGCGGCTACCTTATTAGTGACTTCTTATATTGTGCCACAAGGTGTTGCCACTGACATTGTACCATTACATAAAAATGTGTCACTTGTCCCGTCCTTATAAATATTACATCAGGTTGTGGGTGGGAAACCTGATGGTGCAATGATGAATCCACTACGCTCCATCCAGCGGAGAGGATTACATGTGTGAACTCATAATGTAAAATGTGTCTCAGACCTGCTGTGTGTCTTGGACAGTAGGTGCAGGAGTTTGTTAGTGCTACCCAACATGTTGCCCTATTATTAGATCCAAGGTGAGAAAGCAACTTGAAGAGTTCAACATTAAGAATCTAATTGCTCCTCTTTGCTGTCTGCTGGAGCAGATGGGAGCTTTCCGGTCGCAAAGACTAGGTCACAGTCTGAATTAATGGTGCAATAAGGAACAGCCAATTAGGCAAAGTGTGCAAACTAGGTCAAAGTGAGGCTGGAGGTCCAAGAGAACCTCTCAGAACCTTTAAGAGGTTCAAATAATTGTTGGTCTGAAGTGGACATGAAATACAGCTGTCGTATTTCCTACCAATATTTGAAACACTTATTAAACGGGAGCAGTGATATCAGCTCACATCAGGCTCTGCTTGGTTGAAAAGTAGCTCCTATCAGGCCTCGATCACATCATTAAAACCATCTTGATGTGGAAACGGCTGTCACGCTCACACTGAGCAGCTGAGAGAGTCACTCGCTCCCCAGATGCCTGAGCACAATATTCCCACTGAAAGGCAAGTTCAAAAAGAAGAAGCAGACTGCTTTGAACCATCAGCTGATGCATTGCAGCTCCCGCACGGGACAGAGAGGATTTCGCCGACAAGATGGTTTGAGAACACCATTCCTTAT